GAAATGGGAAGTCTTCAAACCCCAATCCACCATGACTCCAAGAACGTCTGGTTGCTTGAAGTGTGGAAAGGAGGAACACCGCGCAGCAGAATGCCTTTCGAAGACCCCTGCCAGAAAGATAGACCATCCATCGGGGGAAAACCCAGAACATCCAGCCCTCAAGGAAAGGAGACTGGCCTGAGAGGCCGAGTAGATGTGGGATTCCAATTGCCCCCCAACCCAGAGGAAGAACCCCCAATGCTCTGAGGGGACCTGAGCCAGTCCGAAAGTGATCTGGAAGACGACCCACTGGTAAGCCACCCAATTGAACCAATCAACCTACCCCTGAGACTGTTTATCCCCAGCTGAGGGAAGGGGAAGGAAGTTGCAGCATTGCTGGATTCGGGATGCACCCGATGCCTAATAAATCCCTCCCTTGCAGAGAAATTGGGGATCCAACTGAAAGAAATGGAAAACCCCATCGCTTTCTGCCAATTAAATGGAAATATAGTGGTGTGTGGGGGGGGAGGGAGCCAGCCAGGTTTACCACAGAACCATTGAAAATAAGATTAGGTAACCAAAGGGAGATGCTCACATTCATTGTAGCCCCAGGAATGGAAGAGCCGCTAGTCCTAGGTCTCACATGGCTGCGGAAATGGAATCCAAATGAATTGGAGGAGAGGAACCGCACAATCCCAGAGAGACATAGTATTTGCAAATAGCTCAGAGGAAAGTATAAAGAAAGGAACAGAGAACAGAGAATCAGCCATGACCGGACAGTCGGTTGAAACCATTAACATCCCCAATGAGTACCAGGATCTGGCCCAAGCATTTAGTGAGGAAGCTTGTGATGAACTCCCACCCCATCGCGCCACAGACTGCGCCATCAAAATCCTACCAGGGGCTAAATTCCCAAAACCACAAATGTACTGCGTGTCCCCCAGAGAACTGAAAGAACTCAGAGCATTTATCGCTAAAAACTTAAAAAAGGGGCTTCATCGAACCCGCCCGACCAAAAATAGCTGCCCCAGTGTTATTCTGAAAAAAAGAAAGATGGCTCCATACGCTTGTGTGTTAATTACAAAAAATTAAATACAATTTGCATAGAGAATATATATCCACTCATGAAGGACATGCTAGCCCACCTCTCGAAAGGAATTTTTTTTTCAAAGTTAGACCTACGAGAGGCATATTATCGCATCAGAATAAAGGAAGGGGGTGAGTGGAAGACAGCTTTTAACACACCATTGGGATGCTACCAATTTAAAGTGCTCCCCTTTGGACTGCAAGTAGCGCCTGCTGTGTTTATGCAATTGATCAATGAAACTCTTCATGAATTTTTATATAAAGGGGTTCTAGTGTATCTTGATGATATTTTAATCTACATGGAAATGATGGAAGAACACATCAAGCTACTCGGTGCAGTCCTCACAAAACTCTTAGATGCTAAACTATATGCAAAACTCTCTAAATGTGAATTCCACCAAGAAAAAATTGACTATTTGGGGTATAGAATATCCCACAAGGGAATAGAGATGGACCCACAGAAAGTAAAAGCTGTACTGGACTGGGACCCACTGCACACTCGCAAACAACTGCAAAGCTTCCTGGGGTTTGTGAACTTTTATCGCCAATTCATTCCAGCTTTTGCAAACATCGCCCTCCCTATCACGAACTTGTTAAAAATGAAGTGGCGGGGGGGGGGGGGAGAAACTCAAACCAAGGCAATCCCTTATCTGGACAATGGAATGCCAAGCAGCATTTGAGAAGCTCAAACATCTATTCTCAGCAGAACCAGTCCTTATGAAATGCTGCTACGACTCCAAAATAAAGGGACACCTTGGGTTTGTAAAAAACCTGCACCTCATCAAAAGACAATTTTAGTGGCCATCCTTCAAAAAGAACTATGTTGCGAGCTGCCCCACCTGTGCGGCTGCAAAGAGAAGACAAGGAAAATATCTTGGACTTTTACAAACAGTAGCAGACCCTTCAGCTCCCTGGAAAGAGATCTCTATGGACTTTATAGTGGAGCTTCCCAAAAGTGCTGGGAATACTGTCATTTGGGTTGTAACTGATCTTTTTTCCAAACAGGTTCACTTTATTCCATGTCAAAAGATCCCAACTGCCAAGGCATTGGCAAAGATGTTCCTAATACACAATTTTCGCCTTCATGGAGCCCCCCATAGGATTATCTCAGATAGGGGTGTTCAGTTCACATCCAAATTTTGGCGGGTATTTTTAAATCTATTAGGCTCCACCTAGGGGTTGTCGTCAGGAAATCACCCCCAGACTGACAGATTGACAGAGAGAGTGAACAGTGTATTAGAACAATATTTAAGATGTTTTATTAATTACCAACAGGACAATTGGACTGACCTTCTTCCTTTTGCAGAGGTAGCATACAATAACTCAGTCCATAGTAGCATTCCAGGTAGCCACGGGCCAAGAATTCAACCCCATGCCAGAGCTATCCACCAAAGAACCTGAAATCCCCTCCCTTAAGGAGTGGGTGGATAACTTACAAGCCATGTGGCCAGTGGTAAGATTATCTTTACAGGAAGCTAGAGCAGGTTACAAAACTCAAGCAGACAAAAAACATTGCGAACCTAAACCTTTCAGGATTGGGGACCGCGTATATTTGTCCACAAAATTCTTAAAATCATTACAACCCTCTAAGAAATTAGCACCAAAATTCATTGCTCATTCCCCATCTCCAGAATTATTAACCCTGTGATGGTAGAGCTTTGACTTCCAAAAACACTATGAATCTGAGATGGTTAGATAATATCACTGATGCAATGAACACAAATTTGGGCAGACTCCAGAGACAGTGGAGGAAAGGGTAAGTGGATGGGGTGCTATGGTCCAAGGGGTCTCAAAGAGTCAGAAACAACTTAGCCACCGAACAACAAGCTTGTGAAGCTTCCCACAGAAACATCTTCTTCCTCCTGATATTCTTGAATTAGCCCCATCTTTTCCAAGATAGCAACATCCTTCCAGTAATGTCACTTACGATCTTCTACCTGGTCAGGTACACAAGTTGTAACCTCCCCGACTTAAGGATCAAGCTGCCTATAGAGGTTATGGATGAAGGAACTTTTCTGCCTCTGGAATCCTCTCCCCATAGTAATGAGATTTTAGTGCTGCTCTATTTTTTCCCCCAAATACTGCCAGTGAACTCACAGTGTTTTATCTATTGTAATGATGGCTTTTATTCTATTGCATGATTTTATGAAGCCTCCTGCTACTTGAGTTACAATTCTTGAATTCTAAGGTTGGCTGGATAGACTAATATAAATACAATAAAAGCAATCAGAAGACTGGACTAAAATTTCTTTTACTTCAGTAACAAGAGGGCAGGTTTGTCCATCAGAACAAATGGGAGTCACTGCCAGGAGTTGCTTCCTTTCCATTCTGTTAAAAAAAGGAAGGAAGGAAGAAAGGAAGGAAGGAAGGAAGGAAGGAAGGAAGGAAGGAAGGAAGGAAGGAAGGAAGGAAGGA